GACAAAGGATTAATCTCCAAAATATAACAAACAGCTCATGCAGCTCAATATTAAAAAAACAAACAACCCAATCCAAAAATGGGCAGAAGACCTAAATAGACATTTCTCCAAAGAAGATATACAGATTGCTGGGGGTGGGGGTGTGTGTTGGGATGAATTGGGAGATTGGGATTGACGTGTGTACACTGATGTGTGTAAAATGGATGACTAATAAGAAAATAAATAAATAAACATTAAATTTTTTTTTAATTTTTAAGTGGAAAAAAAAAGAGCAAAACCTTGTCCTCTTCTCCTACCACATCCGACTGATAAGAGCAGGCCAACTGAAAACAGATGCTCCTTGCTGAGCAGAGGCTCTGTAAGAAATCCATGGGGAGATACAGATGAGCTTTCCAGAGCCAACACTCACCGCAAAAACCTAGCTGTTCTAGTAGGAATGTCAATTTCTTAAATCTGTATCTACTGTGACTACCTTTGAGCTTGGGACCACCAGCTCATCCTTTGTTCTTACCCTTCAGGGTCTACGTGAAGCTTCCCAACGGCCTGAGTGATAAACTTTCAGGCACGTATGCTTTAATAATAATACATCCCTCTCAGAGCTACACCACTGAAAGGTGTTCCTTCAACAACAGAAAAATTTATTGCTTTCTTCCCCCACAGAAAAACCACAAAAATATTTTCTTCTTGCCTTCAGCAGTGAGTTCCAAGTTTCATTAGAGAACCGGCCAGATGCTTCCTCCTAGCTTGTATGGGAAGAAATTAAGATAAAGGGCATTTGAAACTCTACCTCTGCACACCTGCCTCATACCTTATTCCCTCATGACAGGTCTTCTTCCTGTTTTCCCGGGGTTGGGGATGTAGAGCTGTGTATGACCTGCTTCTTCCGGCAGCTGGGGCTCTGGAGCCCCCCTGCCCCCTTTCCTTCTGGTTTTAATAATAGATGGCTCTTATTGAATTGTGCACCTGCCATAAACCAGACACTGCACTTTACAAATTGTTTCAAATTCTTAACCCCCAAACTGGAAAAGGGCTGTAACCTCAGTGTCTGCTGCCTAGACAGCCCCTCTATCCATAAAAGCAGATTCTATCTTTCTGTCTCTGTCACTAAGAATCACTTTGCTCCAGTATATTTGCAGAAAGGGATGGGTCTCTCATCTCCAAAGCCAGTCCAGGCTGCTGCCTATGCCTCTGCTTTCACCTGCCCTTAAACTCCACACTCAGCTAGGGTCTCTGCTCGCTGGAGTGTGGGTCTTGGCCTGTGTTCCAGGGCTGCCATCTTCCCTGGACATGACACCGATGGTGCCTCGGGGATGTGGTAGGCAGGACAATGGCCCCCAAGAATGTCCACATTCTGGAATCTGTGAATATGTTACCTTACATGGCAAAAGGACTTTGCAGATGTGATTAAGTTAAGGACCTTGAGTTGGGGAGATTGTCCTGGAATATCTGGGTGAACACGATGTAACCACAAGGATCCTTATAAGAGAAAGAGAGTAAGAGTCAGAGAGGGAGATGTGACAATGTAAGCAGAGGTCAGAGGGATGTGAGGAAAAGGCCAAGGAATGCAGGCTGTGCTTAGAAGTTGAAAAGGGCAAGAAAACAGATTCTTGCCTGGTGCCTTCAGAAGGAAGGCAGCCCTGCAGATGCCTTGATTTTAGGTCTTCTAACCTGCAGACCAGTAAGATAATAAATTTGTGGCATTGGTGACAGTTTGTTATACCAGCCATGGGAAACTAATACAAGGGACAATGCGGGGAAGCCACATTTGCCTTTGTTGTGTTGTCACTTAATTCTACACCTCTAACATGTATGTGTAAGCCACTTCATTGAAAATTTGGGGATACGTAGAAGGGGAAAAAAATCTGAATATTAAACATGATTGTTCCCAGAGGCCAAGGGAAGAAGGAAAAAACCTTAGCAGGGTGTCTTCATAGGCATGGCCCATTTCCTATCCTTAATGACCAGCCCCAAGGCCCAACCTCTGTTTCTTCTTTTCCTCTGTGAGCCTACTTTTCTCCATGGCAAAATTCATTCATTCAATAAACGTTTACTAAATACCAACGATGTCCCAGGCACTGTTCTAGGTGCTGGGATTAAAGCACACAAAAGACAAAGAACACAAGCTATCACAATGTTTACATTTTAATGCAACCCCCCAACCCGGCCCATGAAATCCCCACTCAACAAGATCCAACCCAACCTTACCTCTTACCACAAATAGGATCATCTGTAAGGTAAAGATAATCCACAGCCATGCATTTCTCAAAGTCTGAGTTACTCAGTTAGAAATAATGCCATGTAGTTAGATGATGCCCAGAACAATCCAAGGGAGGCTTCATTTCTCCAGTTCTTGTTCTCTTCAGGGTCCCTCTGCCAGCATGTAGTCAAGATACCCCTCCTCATTCTTCCTTTGGTCTTCTGATTGCTTGTAACTCTCAGATATCTCTCTCTCTCACACACACACCTCCCCCCGCCCCACCAAAGACAAACCATTAGTCTCAGTCCAAATCCATATTAAGGAAGGGAGGGGAGAATCTTCCAACACATATTCCAATCTTCCAACATATTCTCCCCAACTAAATCTAAATGGGGGCATGCCTTATTTTTGTTATGCAAAGCATCTCCAATTCCCCTTTTCTCAGCTCCCACCTGTAGACTATGCCCAGGGCCTACCCGTGCACTAGAAATGCTGCCCATCACGGTGCCTTTCTAAACAGAAAGACCTCTACTCCTTATGTCATCCCCTGCTACGCAGAAACTCGGTAGATGTGCCTTTTTGATACATTGAGCCACATCACATTCCTACCTATGATTTCCTCCACTCACAGATTCCATTAGGATGTGAATGTGCACCCTCTGTCCCCCATCCATAGCAAGCCCTCAAGAGTTGAGACTTTCCTTCTAGTTATAGAAAGAACCCCCAAGGGAAAATACCTTCTTTTCATAACCGATACACAATCCTCTCTTCCTTCTCCTCTCCTATGGCCTTTTCCTAACGAAGGATGCACAGGCACCATCAAGCAAATACTTTTGATTAAAGCAAATTTCAGCTCTCTGGGCACTGAGAAATTTCAGAAGGAAGAAATGTTATTGGTAAAATCCAATTAAGCTTACCACCATTAGCTGTGTAATGCTCGTTGCAGAGTAATTACTGTAATAGAAATAATAATGCATTGATTATGCGTTTACTGGGTGCCAGGGACTTTACTGAATGTTTTTCTTGCCTTAGCTCATTTAGTCCTCATCAATGAGTTTAGGGTGATTTTTTTTTTTTTTTTCTTTTGCGGTACTTGGGCCTCTCACTGCTGTGGCCTCTCCCGTTGTGGAGCACAGGCTCTGGACGCACAGCCTCAGCGGCCATGGCTCACAGGCCCAGCTGCTCCGCGGCATGTGGGATCTTCCCGGACCGGGGCACGAACCCGTGTCCCCTGCATTGGCAGGCAGACTCTCAACCACTGCGCCACCAGGGAAGCCCCAGTTCAGGGTGATTTTTATCCACATTTTGCAGCTGAGGAATTTGAGACTGTGAGGGGTTAAGAAAATTGCTCCAAGGTCACATTGGGAATTGGTGGCCGAGCTGGAGTTCAAACAGGTTCACCTAACAGTCACTGCTGTGCTGTGCTTTAGTGACTGGACTCCTACCCAGGGTAGTACCTTCTATCTCCATTTGCATTTTTAAGTGAAAATAATAAAGGAGGAAAGGAAGGAAAGGACAGGTTTCATGAGCAAATTGGAGCACCCTGAGAATTATAGATAGGTGAAAAGAAACCTGAAGCCAGGAATAAGAAATACTTTTTAAATTACAGCTAATTGAACAATGGTAAGTTTGGAAATTTGTGGTTTAGAGTCAAGAGTGGTGTAAGGACCGGTGGCAACATTTATTTTGAAAGTGTCAAGAACTGCCACCTCCATTTAGAAGCTTTTAATAAATGAGAGTCTAAAATACTCTAAAGAGAATCCCAGCAGAGACTACAAGCCAAGAATCCTTGGCTTACAAAATAATGGGGGCTGCTTCTTCCCAAGTTACCATGCACAGAAGCAAAACTTGGCAGAATTGGAGACAAAGGATTTTGATCTTGTTCCTACCATTGCAAAACAAACCACTGGGTTACCTCTGCTGCCACTCCTTAGTACCAAGACTCTGCTAGGCACTGTTTGGAAGAGAATCCCATTTAGCTCTCTGCCCAGGGAAATCAGCCCCTCTGGAGGCAGCCCCCCAAAGACCTAAGTGCAGAATATCTTCTACCCTTATTCATTTTCTGCAGACTTCTGTTTCTTGAGGAAATCTTCCACGTGTAATTGAGCCGCTACTCTGACACCATTTTCATTGAGTAACTCATGGTGATGTCACACCAGCTAGGCACTAGGGGAAGCCCTGCTTTTATGGATTGGCTCTTAATTTAGGAATTTTTATTTTCTGACCTCCCTCCCTTTTTTGCTGGACTCCACTGCATTTGAGCAGGATGCCTGAGTGATGAAGTGTTGCCTGCTTTTGAGAAAAGGAATTTCTGCTCGTTGAGAGGCAAATGGTTGAGTGAAGGCAAGATGTGAGTCCTGTAATAGTACATCTTAATTGGAGAGTTGGCAAGAGAGGAAGGTTGTGTAGGCCTGGTGTGGGCTCCGTTGCTCCTAATGGGGTTCGTGGAGCTGAGCTGAGAAGATGGGTGGGGGACAGTGGGCCTCACAACCACCCCCTGCTGCCACTGTCCTGTGTAGCTGGGGAGCCAACCGCCTCCCCCCTGGCACCTGGGCAACCACATCTAACCCACATCCCACCTTCCTCCCTCGCCTCTCTGCTGCTCTGTGCAGCGAGCCGGCAGAGGCAAGCTTGGCAAGCCTCGCCTGTAAAAGCCTAATCCAAACAGCATGTCCGCTGAGCTCAGCGGGGTGACTCATGTGCAGTGATGTGTGAGGCCAACAAGTGGAGATTAGGATCTGGCCCGCCCGCCAGCCTACCCTGCACTTCCTTTGATCAACTCTGATGGTTTTTAATTCTGCAGAAGCAGCTTCCTGCCAGCGGCAAGTACCTCTTGGTGGAGGTTGGAGCCATGTCGATGCTGTCCTACTTGTCGAGGCCGGCGTGTGCTGACGGCACAGGGACTGACACTCTGGGCTCACAGCCCACATGGAGCCAAGGGGGGAGGCTCTTTCGCTGAGGAGCCCATGGTGACATCAGAAGCTTGCTCCTCAGCTAACACCAGGAAGGCCACGCGTGTGAGCAGCCCGGCTTCTGAACCTGATCCTGGCGTTGGTTAGACTCACCGGATAATAAAGAAAAATGGGACTCTCTCTAGGGGATTCTTTTTTTTTTTTTTGGTAAGCTGGGGCATCTCTAAGGACAGTGTTTGGCACAAAATGAAACACTCTCTGGGCTTTTCAGAAGTGCTTTTTCACATCTGTTTTGCTCTAAATGGAACGCATTCGAAGTATATTACTTTCTTGAACATTTTTTCCCCTGCTCGAGTGGAATGTGTCTGCCTCTTGATTCTTCCAAATCCCCTCGATGACCAGTGCCAGGCAGAGCCCCTGAAATCAGGTCTCATTCTCTCTCTTCCCCTCTCGACCTTTATCTTGCTCTCTCCTTTCTCTCGCTTTTCTCAGGAAGTGGAGGAGTGATTCTCAACCTCGGCTGTAAATTAGGGAGACCCTGGGTAGGGGTGGGGGAGGTTAGGGCTTTAAAAAATCCCCAATGCCAGGCTCCATCCCAGAATAATTCACTCAGAGCCTCTGAGGGTAGGACTAGACACCAACAGTGTTTAAAGCTCCCTATTGTGCAGGCAAAATTGAGACTCATTGGAATTTAGGGTCACATAGCATAAGCTATTAGCCCTAGGAATGCTTCCTGTTTCCGTCTGTCCTCCCCACCACCGTTCAATCTGAGAGACTTCCGGAGACTGGTGTGTACTTTAACCAGGTTAATGGAAGGTGCTACCTAGATGGGGTAAGTGGCCTACCTATTAGGAAGAATCTGTTCATCTGATTAAAAGTATTTACCATCGAACTGAGACTTATCCCACAGAGATGGAACACCAGGAACTGAAATACAGAACAGACAGATCTTGCAGGGAAGAAGTAGGGGATGGCTCAGCACACACCACAGTGACCAGCCCAAGGGAATTTCTGGGAGACGGGTTTGTAGGTGGTGGTGATGGGCTGTGGGTAGGGCTTCCAGATAAAAGAAAGGCCACTAGTTAAATTTGAATTTTTTGATAAACAACGAGTAGTGCAATATTGGGGACATACTTAACACTAAAAAATTATTCATTGTTTATTTAAAATTCAAATTTAATTGGGTGTTCTATATTTTTTTTTGCTAAATCTGGAAATCCTAGTTGTGGATGGCAGACCAGAGAGGAGAATCTTGGGTATTTGAGGGAGTGGTAGGTCTCACCTGGGTGGTTACTGCCCTCCAAGGGGCGTTGGGGAAAATGTGTAGGAATTTGGGGCTGTCCCAATGACTGGGGATTGCTATGAGCATCTAGTGGGTGTGAACCAGGATGCTAAAGATACTGCAGTATGTAGAATAGTTCCAATGAAGATCCTAAAAGGCAGGACACTGAGAAACATAATGGAAAATGTCTTTAACTGAGTTTTCAGAAGATACCAAAAATGTGGGTGGTTTGTTGTTTTTTTCTATTTCTTATGTTTACTTTGTAAGAAATTTGGGACTCTAGTGTTGGACTTTGGCTCAGTGAAGGCATTTTTATAAAGAGTTAAGCCAATATATGCTATTTTTTTTTCTAATGATCTGATTAATAAGGGGGAACTCAGACGTTTTCAGCGGCCCAGAAACGTCTTTTATAAAGGCTTCATGCGTGGCTTCATGCGTGGCTCCCTCAGGAGCTCTAACAGCCTTAAGGAAAAGGTGGGGATGCTGTAAGAATCTAGGTTTGTGGTGAGAGGTAGAGGAAGCATGGCTGGAAAAAGCTACATTCCACTGCCCACCCAACCTTCCTCTCCCCAGGCTAGAAGCAGATGGTTGGAAGTACCCACCCTACCCAGGAGGCACTTCCCAGCCACATCCCCAGGAAAGCGATAAAGGAAAACAGTGTGTCACCAAGGGCCCACCCCAGGGGCCTGAGAATGGCTTGAGGGACTGCCTGACCCCGTATATCATCCTTCAATAAGGGCTACACTTTGGGGTTAGTTTGCCTCTCTCCTAAAGGCAGGGAACAAATAATCAGATGACTCGAAAAAGAGTTTCCTTTTTTGGTTTTATTTGGGGTTTTTTGTTTTTAAACCAACTTGCTAAATGCGTGGTGGGCTAAAACAAACAAACGGAAAATAAGCCACAGATTAACCCCCGCACCCCGGGCTGGGCAACATCAGTAAGAGGAAACTGTGGCCTGGGGCTCTGAGGGGCTGCTGAAGAGCACACGTGTCCCCTCTCCCTAGCCACCCACCCCCATCTCGGACGCCAGCCCTTGTGCTTGGCGGCTAGCAGTGACAAAACCAAGATGAATCACCACATGTCAGGATCCATAAATTCTCAACAGTCTAAGCAGCAGGTCTGAGATGAGAGATCAAGGCCAAAAGTAAATATCTTTGACACATGCTTTTGTTTTCAGATGGCGGCAGCTTGGATTTCCTTCCTGTGGCTGAGAAAAGGATGGCTGCAGTAGGCGGAGCCGATCTAGGTGCGCGTGGAGAGGCAGCTAGAGCGGGAGGGAGGGACTGCTCTTCTCACTCCCAGGGAGCCTCTCCACCGCTCCCTCTCCCCTTCTCACTGAGGCTGGAGGGAGGGGGCAGCCAGGGAGAAGTGTTTCCCTTCTTCTCTTAGGGGAATTCAATCTGGTTGTGCTGGCCTTGCTTGCCTAGGGGGCTTGCTTCTAGGTCAGTGGGTACTGGCCTTAGTGCTGGAATGTGTATACTGAACTCATTTCTAATCCTCTGGCAGGCCAGTGTTGACTCAGGCTCTCCCCTTCACATGGGATTCTAGGAAGGGAGGGAGCTTAGGATCATTTTTGGCTACTCAGCCTCTGAACGCCCTTCCCATGTTTGGGACATTTATCACTTCGTGAATCTCAGTGCCCTAAGAAAGAGCTTTCTATTCTTCTAGAAGTCTCTACAAGAGACTAGTCTCCTTTGCAGCTAGGACACGGACACACAACCAAGACTTGGTCAATCAGCTGCACTTGCTCCAGATCGTATCAGAAGTTACCGGCACCAAAAAGCAGGGACATTGGAGAATCCTCTCTGGGGGAGGCTGCAGGGCAAAAAAAATATCCAGGCTCCCTGTGCCCATGGTGGTATCTAGTGTCCAGGGCTGAAGATGGCGGCAGTGCAAGCGGAGGTGCAGCCCTAGGCAGTGGCTGCAGGGGTACCCTCCTCTCACCTTTTCTAGGCTGTGACTGTACCTGCGGCCTTGGATAGGATCTTAAGTTCCCAGTTCTTGTGTGTTCTGAGCCTGTTTTCCAAGCTTCTCAGTGATGATGAGTTACTCCGTAGCTTTTCAACAAATTCCTTTTCTGCTTAAATCAGTTTCTGTTGCTTGCAGCTGAGAACCCTGACTCTGTCCAGCTACAGCTGGTTTCAGTCAATCGTCTGCAGATGCTCTTTTTTTTTTTTCCTTCACTGCCTGCATTCTTCAAGCCTCTGTCCTCCTGGCAACTGCACAAGAAACCCAGAAAAGGAGGAATGAGCAGAGGGTTTGACCACGGCTGGGAAGTGAGCCAAGAGAACTCCGAAGTACTTGAATATTAGATCCTTTACTTTGTTAGGTGGGGTAGATGCGGGATTAATGAGACAGAAGGCTGTGGGCTGTTCAGCTTATTTTGTTTTTTTCATCTCTAACTTGGTTATACAGTGATTCCCTGTGACACTTACAGATCTCATGAGGGCATGGGTCAAGTCACCTTGTTTTCCCTAGCATGCAGGTCATACAGGATACTCAGTAAATAGTAGTAAAAAGTGACAATGGAAGTTTGAGAAAGAGATTTCAGGAAAAAGAAGCTACATATATCCTTCATGTCTCTTTAAAAAAAGAACTGTCTCAACTATGTGGGAGCTGAAGATTAAGGCTGGTGAGTAGAGCTAACACTGCAGACATTTAGTGGTGCTGATTGAAGAGCAAGAACCTGTAGCTTTAGCCATCAGACTGTCAGAGAGGGAGACAACACACTCCTAGGCAGGCGGAGCCTAACTTGGATCTAGCCCAGGCAGAATGCTGGTCCATTCCTTCTTGGAAGGGGACCCCAAGAGCTCCTGCAAGTTCAACTGAGATGGCTCTCCAAAAAGCATTTTGAATCAATTTCAAATGTGTTGACAGTACTTGGTTGAAACCGCAGAAGAAGGTTGAGGGTGGGTGGAGCTAGTTTGAATCTAGAAAACCTAGGGCAGGTTTCCCCATCAGCTACCTTAACCATAAAAGAACCTCAGTATATCTATGGTAGCCTGGTTTTGAGTAACACTCATATTCAGATTTGAGTACACAAGGATGCATTTGTTACAAACTGACTCTCGTTCTAAATCTTGTTTGTGGGATTAACCAAAGAAACATTTACCTTAAGCAGGTCTCTTAACTAACTTGTCTAAGTTTTCACTTCCCAATTTTAAATTCTCTAGTTATAGAGCGTTTGGGCTATCTTGCTCACTAATTTCCTAGCTAAATTTTGATGTTTCTGTTAATTTTCTTAAGGACAAGAATCGTGTGTTCTTTTTCAAATGCCCTTCCATCCAAGTACAAAGCTGGACACCACAGGCACAGACAGCCCACGGTGTGGCCACGTTCCAGAAGAGCCTAGGCCAGCCTCCTCTAAGAACTTTCTCGAGCCAGGACCTAGGGCTAGCAGTGGGAAAGTTAGAAGGGGGAGAACGCTGTAACTGGGATCTGTAATCAGTTACAGAGCCTTCTAAACTGCTGGTAGTGCTTGGGGTTGCTGCCAGAGCTGTATTTCCAAGGCATCTACTTCTAGCCTATGATTATCTTTAAATTCACATCGAACAGTAGAAAATGGTTAAAGCTCACACTTCCAGTACTATCTGGGGCTAGTGCAGGAGAGAACTGTGAAACATCATACACATGCATATATATTTTAAACCTGTGCTGTGCAACTTGTTTTTTTTTTTAACATCTTTATTGGAGTATAATTGCTTTACAATGGTGTGTTAGTTTCTGCTTTATAACAGTGAATCAGTTATACATATACATATATCCCCATATCTCTTCCCTCTTGCGTCTCCCTCCCTCCCACCCTCCCTATCCCACCCGTCTAGGTGGTCACAAAGCACCGAGCTGATCTCCCTGTGCTATGCGGCTGCTTCCCACTAGCTGTCTATTCTACGTTTGGTAGTGTATATATGTCCATGCCATTCTCTCACTTTGTCACAGCTTACCCTTCCCCCTCCCCATATCCTCAAGTCCATTCTCTAGTAGGTCTGTATCTTTATTCCCGTCTTACCCCTAGGTTCTTCCTGACATTTTTTTTTCTCTTAGATTCCATATATATGTGTTAGCATACAGTATTTGTCTTTCTCTTTCTGACTTACTTCACTCTTTATGACAGACTCTAGGTCCATCCAAAGAAGATATACAGATTGCCAACAAACACATGAAAGAATGCTCAATATCATTAATCATTACAGAAATGCAAATCAAAACTACAATGAGATATCATCTCACA